TAGAGCTAGTTATGGGTCCCGTACATATATATCAGCCCCTCTTTGGTCGTAAAAAGAAATGAACATGTTTAAGTAGATATACAGAAGCGTTTTTCCTTGGCTGAATATATTTAATGAGATGTGTACATAGGAATTCTCTGAAATAAAACACGTCGGGAAATGTTTGATTCTGAGAAAACGAATCTGTGTAAGGAGTATAAAATAATTCATACAAGTTATTAAGCGGTATCATAGTGTCTATGTGATATACGCGTAATGTTTTGGGTTTGATTCCCACATGGGGTATATATTTGTGCGGGTACCTAATGCGTGGTTGTTTTGGCCATTGTTGGTTAGTAAGTAAGAATTATTCTGACATATAAATACTTATCTGTGTTGTCGGATAGAATTAATAGCGAGTGAGGGAAATGAACTTATTAATTGTAATTTATAAAATCGTCTTCAAGAGAGTTAGCTTAAATATAATGTTGTTTAAAACACAGGAACTCTAAGTTAGTTTAATTTCCTCGTTCGCATGCCACGAAACACTTGCGAGGCATTACTCGGCGTTCTAATAGGAGTAAATTGCTCGCGTTATTAAATTATTGCTAGGTCGGACTCGCGGTTTCACTCAAATGCTCCATTAGGTACTTGAGGGTTTTAAGGTAGTAGCTTGAAGTAAGATAGGCCAAACTTGTATTATAAGGACTTGGTCAACTCGACAAACAAATCAGTGCATAGCTTTCTACACACCTATAACATATCATCATCATCATCATCATCATCATCATCATCAGCCTATAAGTGCCCACTGTTGAGCAAAGGCCTCTTCTCATACGAAGAAGGTTAGAGCATTAGTCAGCGCGCTCAATGCGGGTTGGCGATTTCAAATTTATTATTAGAAATTATAAGTCCAGGTTTCCTCACGATGTTTATATTCACTGTATGTCAGTGGTGTCTAAATAATCATAGAAAATACATACATAACTCATAAAAATCACATTGGTACTTGCCAGGTTTCGAATCCACACCCTCATAATTAAAAAGCGGGCTCCTTAACCTCCGGGCCACCATGACGAATGTGTAGTAACAATAAGAGCTTAAGAATCTCGAAATGATTGGAACACGAAAAAAACAAAGTTCACTAATCGTACCAAACAAACACACAGAGCTTTAAGATCGTGTTTGATCCGATACACACAGCTTTACGATCGTGTTTGATCCGATCTTAGGTGTTGCGTTAACTTTACACTAAGCTCTAGTAAGTATGAAGATAAATTGTTTTTCGTATAAACATAAACTATCCCATTGGATTAGTTGGAGGGTAACTAGCAGGAATGTTATTTAGTTCAGTAGCTTCCATCACATTTAGGCTGGTCATACGATTCGATTAGGAATAGTCCTCACTTGGCCTTTTCTCAGCCTCTCGTGAACGCATATACTTTTCTAGAACAGTCCCATTTTACCAAACGTATTTATGAATATCTTCCGTAACTTTAGTCCGTCGTCTCAATATGTCTTACCTAATTAATTAGCAAATGCTTTCACAATTTTGTTTTTTTTTAGCTCTAAGTAAAGAGGAGATTTAACTGATCAGTACCCGAAATGTAATAGAATAGAAATCTTATAATAAGTATAATATTCCACGTACTCTATTATAATGGGGGTGAACATCTGGCAATGATGGGATGTTTATTTATATCCAGGCCGGAAGTAGTGTGCTACGAACCCACATCCGGTCTCTAGCAAATGGTGCGCGTGCGCGTTGTACGCCAAATATGGTCACAAATATTATTAGAAAAAATGTTAATGTTGCTAGTTAAATTTTAAGTTTCAGTTAAACTTGTAGTTTATACTGTAATGGTTGCGTACAATCCCACATAGAGGAAAATTTAAAATGTTCCGTGAATAGTGGTAATAGCAGTACCAGGTCTCTACAGTAACTATTCTCGTTTTCTTGCCAGTACATTCAATTATAATTACCTACGAGCAGTGCCACTAACATACCTACATATCTTACAAACGTACGTTTCAACTGACCTAAATTAATTATCTACAAAACGTACTTTTCTTTCTTCGCAGAAGAAAACTCGAAACAATTTTAAGCTCTAATCATATCTCTTAATTAGAAAAATAGTAAGCGCCCGCAAGTTCTGTAAAAATTAAGAACCCTCCCTTTTCATTTTCGTATAAAAATGCATTGCATTAAATTAAATTAAAGGGAATACTGCCTATTTTGAAGATTGTACCTTTCTTTTGGTAAATTAAAATTTACTAGCGCTGTACTCGGGAATTCGGACCCTCGACCTCATGTTAAGGGACGGACATTATTCAACTTCTAATGTCTAACAGAAGGCAGGTGCTATTTCTAATGACGGTCATTCTGTTTCGACGGCATTTGGCCAACTGACGATAGCTAGAGTGACCAAAAAGAGGCTTTGGAGTACATTGAAACAAGGACCAAAATGCATGGTCAGCCAGGAGGCTCAATTTGGACCTTTTTTTATAACAATGATGTTTATCAAGCAGTTCGCCCGCACTTTTGTTATAAGGGTGATATTCGAATTGATTTTTTTCTAATACCACTGAGGAGCACATGGCATCCTTGCATCTGCCGTTACAATGAAGCGCTTCGAGTTTTTATGCCGGCAGGTATAATCTTTCTTCGATTGTGCCCGTATCCCGCCATTTATAAAAACTGTTTCGGTAATTATAGAGTATGCCGTGCCGTTGTAAGTTAACACGAGCCATATTATTCCAAAATTGGTACGTTTGATTTTTTAAAGCCGTGTCTGTCGTAGTTGTTTAAATTGGTTAATTAAGTTCCAATTTAATAAATGAACTTAATGGGAATCCTTGGCTATCTAGGTACCCGTCTTTTACAGATTAGTTTATTTAAGTAGTGTTTCTATTCAGTCAAATTTATTTATAAACTACTAAGCAAGTAGACACATAGCAAAATGCATAAATGGAAACAAATATCCAATCCTTTTTTTAATGGACTTCAGTAGCACCTTCATTTAAACAGAATCATAGAATGTTATAAGAACCACCATAAATTAAGAGTGCGGGCACGTGGCGGGCCTCAAAACCGAGCTTGGCCGTTATTACTCGCCTTTACTGAAAACCGAAGTCCAATAAAATATAATTTACATTTAAACTTCTCTGAAAAAAGCAATTCGGAACTCTCCCCAAATTGTTAATTTTAATAATGCTTCCGAAAGACTGCTCTCTATCCCTCGCATTTGGCGATTATTGCCGCCATAAAAAAGTGCTGCACTACAATCTCTTTTAATGTCGGGAAAAGTAACAAATCGACCCTATCGCGTAGGTGCTAGGCGCCGCTAACGAGTGGAGCTGACAAAGTTAATTGGGAACATACATTTTATGACCTGACTAACTCGTGCGGAGGGTAGGCTCTGTAAAGTAGGCCACTCGCCAACTCACTACTGCGAACCGCGTGGTCCATTTTTGACAGAACACGTGTCAATCTAATTATGCAAATAATTTTAATGTAACCGAGACAAATGGGTACTGAGCACCTGAAACACTCCTGGAAAGGTTATGAAATAAAGATTTCTTGAATAAATTTGGAGAAAAAACTGGGAGTACATAAAGGTTAGACGGTAGTAACGATGCGTGACTAAGTACCTACGAGGCAGTTTATATTATGTATGTACATATGTATGTATTCTGCTATATTTTACCAAAAAGGTTCATAATTATGGAGAAGGTGAATTATGTAATTACATTTCTGTGAGACATTGAACTAGTGCAAATGAAATATGTTTATTATATTATCTTTGCGAGCTCTATGGGGGTATTTCTGAAAAGAACATTCATGAATGGATCCAACATATTTGAGAGGCTTTTATTTAACGAAGTTTCTACAACTATGACTACTTGTAAAACGATGTTATAATATTCCAAGCACATGCACTTAGCATGTATTTAAACTTAAATAACATAAATGTACATTTTCAGAATGTGAAATATATTTCGAATGTAATACAAAGAAATGCTAAGAAAATTGTGAAGTACTCTTTAAACAGGTGTACTTGAAGGAGGTAGAGCTTGAAGCAAGTCTCGTTTGTTTTAAAAAAATAATAATGAATGAAGTCTAGGTTCAGTACAGTTGCTTGCTCTTTATAATGCTTTCAATTTTTTCAGCAATTATGAAGGTTCTTGATAGAATTTATTATCTAGTACTATGAAAAAAAAACTACTTCGAAATCTGATAAACATTAAACATAAAAATATATAATAATAAGTTTTTTTTTTTGCCGTGGAGTCGCCCAACTACCGCCACCTGACGTTTAAGACATGAAAGATAAAAATATGTACCTTTGGAAGTAATACGTTATCAACGTTCACAAAATCAATATTTGACATATGCCAGCTCGGCACGGTACCTAATAGGCAAATAAAGATATTTTATCGATATCAATTTCTAAGTAAAAAATAAACTTAGGCACATGTATCCCCATGTTTACTTTAAATATAAGTATTTACAGTTATTAAGTTCGATCCGCATTTTTGATAAAAATGTATCTATAAATATATTTAGGTCAAATTATTTTACATATAATAACCGAATATAAAAAAAGTTTCTGGAACAAGTCTATAACCATTTTGTAGATTGCCCTTTTCTATAACAATTAGTAAGTTTTATTAATAACAAAATGGTACCGGAAGGGTCGCAAGCACAGGAGACACGCCGCTGCCTGTGCGCCGTTGCATAACATCGCATCCTGCTTACCCCGCCACATGTATGAGACACGCTTGTATAAACAAACACATTTGAAAAAGCCTCTACAACTCTGAACTCAAAATAACTACGTCATTATTATTTATTATAATTTTCTTCAAACGTTTTTATGAAAATAACTTACTTATCGAAAAAGATGCAATGCAAAGCAAAAATTCAACGAATATGATCGTATTCGTTAGTCTAAAATCAACCTTAAACTATTTGGTATAATGCATGTATTAGTACTGATAGAATGTTTTTTGTCCACCAGGCAGGTTTCGGCTATCCATTCTACCAACAACCATGAGCGCAACGAGCATGCCACCCTTCAATGGGCCAAGCGATCAATGGAAGAGATTCGAGTTGAGATGCGAGAACTGGAGGAAAGCGTGAACAACTCCGTGCTCCTTCGCCAGCTTCACGTTATCCGAAACGAGGTAACAATAATAAAGAAATGAAAAAATTAAAATGTCTACGCACGATTCGATCGTTATTGGTTCAGCAGTTCTGCAGTGTGTAACGACACATTTTTGCGCTACTCAATTCATTAGGAATTAATATAAAAATATTTTAATTAAACGTGGCTATAAATTATAACGATTAGTTTTATAATTTGAAATATTATCATTATTATAATTTCTTTACTGGGATGTCTAAAATAGTAAATCTATAGTTAATGCTACGATCTTCGTTTGCGATAAGTCATCTATTCATTCAACCCTGTATAACTAGTTTGTTATCTGGGAATATTTTTCATCATTAGAGTCAATAAAAGAGACAGTAAATTATTACATCGTATGGAGTTTTAAATAGGTTTAAAATATATCCTGCGATATCCATGCGGTCTATTTATTATGTTTGCGTAGATACAGGATGTACAAAACTGATAGATACTGTTTGATAAATATTCGTACACAATTGATAACAGTTCGATCACCGCTATCAGGAAAATGCCACCTTATTCCTTTTAACAACAACACGTGTGTAGTTAAAGAAAGTGTTTCTATATTTTGTAACGAATTATATTGGAAATGTATTCAGAAATGAGTTTTAAGATGATATCAATAAGAGCTGTTTCTAGATGTTTCCTGTCGGCATTTTGAAATGGCTTGTCGAGTTTTATTACACACTTACTTCTCGCAAATAAGGCTCATAACGCTGTACAAACTTACAATAGGGAATGAAAAGTCCCACGACATTCGCTTTTACAAACAAATAAACATACTTTCATTTTCATTTTGACATACGGAATACATTTCGGGACGTCCGTCTTCTTAAATAATAGACTCTTTCATTCAGTATTCCCTTTTTAACGCATATTCTTTATTCACAGTTGAAACAAGCCCTAATGGAAACCTCAGATCTCGCCCAACTGGCCCGCACTCAAGAAGCCCGTATCGACAAATTAGACAGCGAGGTTGGTCGTATGAAGTACGAGGGACAACAGATGAGGACCGTAATTGCCGAACAACGCACCCATATTAACAAGCTTTCCAAGGAGGTAAGTGATTTTTTACATTGAGATTTAGTTTTTTTATGTAATAGGACGGCAAACGAGATTATCTGGTGGTAAGAAATTGGCGATGCAACACCAGAGGAGTTATGAATGCGTTGCCTGCGATTTGGGGATTAAGATTTCGGAGATTTAGGGATCGGGGGATTGAGGAAGGGAAAGCAGAATTGGGATTCCGGTAGCCTCGTTCAAACGAAGAAACACATTCATCCATTCAAGCCAAAGCATGATTATCTCACACCATAGGTTTTCAATTATTTTCGCCCACTTCTATGATAGCATTACATATGTATTGTTGCAAGCGATTTTCGAACGAATTTAGTTTTTACAATAATTTAATTTTAATTTTCGAAATATAGGACTTTTAGGTTTTTTAGGTCTTTACAATTCTAAGTACCGTGTTCAAAGAAATATCGTGATTCGGGGTAGTCTAGGTTCTATGGTATCGGTATGACAAGAATTTCGTCAAATAAATTTGATGTAGTACCTAATCCGTAAGGAGACATTGTAACTCTTGGAATATATTAATAAAATAAGCCAATCATCGAAGGATCTTTTTCTTCGACAAAGATATTGGACAGAAACTTTGACTAAAAAGAACCAATATTCTTTTTAATGATGACTTACCGTAGCATTTGTTTTTTGTAACCTTAATTTAAATATTCGAATAACAATTCAACAACAACAATACTGTTCAGACTGAAGTTAAACCAATAAAGCAATCACTACACAAAACATTAGAGTTTTCTAAAAAAATATGCAATTTGTTATTCGATATAGCACCTGCCTGTGTATCAAACGCATGACTAAATATTGAAATAATATTTAGATTCATTTACTTTATAATAATATGTAGTTAAAAATAAAATAAACAAAAATTTATGGCTGAAAATATAAAACGAAAATACGATTACAATATTTTATCTACAAAGCTAGAGATGTAACTGAATTTGATATCGATACTTGTGGTTGTAACATTGCCTATCGGATCTGACTAATCGACTAACTACACAAAGATCATTAGAGCGGTTTGTAAGGAATTCAGTAAAAGTTACTAAACAGAAGATTCTAGGTGTACATACTAGGGTCGTATAATTTAGTTTGTAAATACACTCCAGTCGGACCACAAGATCCTCATGTACCTACTTTTAGTTTTAGAGAGCATTTCACTTTGAATTTAGGACACTTGAAACTATGTCTATAAATTAGTGTACCGACTGGCAAATAGCAACTGTAATGGGAATTTAAATTGGAACTTAAAGAGATATTCTACGGAACAAGAGACTCGTCACACGGCATAAAATGTTTCACAGTATTCCCATACATCACTACTATGAATAATAAAAATATTAATTATAAAATACATTTCTAACAAACATGATTCCAACTTAAATAGAATAATATCAATGTTACTTATGTTATTCCGAAAATATTCAGAAAAGTCCAGTAATGTTCTAAAGTTAATTACTTAAAGAATTTGCTTCTGACTACATTTAAGGAAAATCCCGCTACTCAGAAGGAAGTCTGGTGATGTAGATAAATTACAATGCCAACAATCTGCTATACGAATAGCGCAATGATAACAATATTATTCTACTGCGATGTCGAGACCTCAAGTAATCAGGAGACGTAACGTCCCTATTATTTATTATTCAACCCTATGACTGCCTAGAAAGATACCTCCAGATTTCTTTATTGAAATAACCCTCACGTAACCAAATTGGATCCATCAAGACGATTTGTTTCGGGTGTGAGTACTTTTTTGTTATGTGGCACATTTATTTGAAAACAACAAAATTTGCGTAAGACTTTTGAAACAATCATTTTCGAGTAAATAGAGAACGATTACATCATACTGCATTTGTGGACGCGAACGGAAATGAAAAAGCGTGAAGCAGAAATGTACGAGAGGAAATTAGGCATCCGTGGTCGTACTGGGAAGGAAGGAGGCCGACTGCTTTAGTTCAGATGAAAAGCATTGTTGTGTGGAAACTCACGCTTCATATTGATCTGTGAATACAAATGGGAATTTCCATCTAGAAGATGTACTCAACCCACTTGCGCCAAGGGAAACCAAAGCCGGGACGATAAAGGAGGCATACTGGTGAAGACAATTTGTGTGAGAGCAGACACCATGTCATAGACTAGCTAGTGTCAGAACTCAGTATTGTCTCACCTTCTGCACAAAATACGTGAATGGGCCATGGCACCGGTAGCGGATTTTGTTATTATGAAGGTACACACAAAGTTATTATGTCTGCAGTGACAATGAGATCTAACTCGTGCATACGAGTACAACTGGACCGAGCTTTGCTTTGGTGTGTTACAAACTTCATGCACAATAATTAACTTTGTACAGACTCACGCTCTGATAAACAAATATAGCCACGTTTGAGATTTCATATAAATTTCTCAAAAGGCGCAAAGTAAAATATTATTAACTTGCAAAACATTGTATAAAGTATGTAATAATACCTATATAAACTTTGTATTGTGTAAGAAATCGGCACTTCAGCGAATAACGAAATTCAATGTCGGAGTTGACACCTAGCGACAAACGCTCCCTCACAAATTCATTCCTTTTTGTGAAACGTATTTCGCGTAGTCGGTCTGGCAATTCACAAATTATAATCTCATTATAGGCATCATGGCCGTAAACTGAAAGGCTTAACATTGCCTCTGTATGTTTTTATTTCATCGCTAACCTTATTAAGTTTCCATAACAAAAGCTTGAGCGTGCTCCACCAGCTCATAACTAAGTTTACGGGATGTACCAACACACAATAGGTATTGTTAACTGAACATGTAAAAATATTACATTCTCTTTACTTATGAAGCTTCTTTGAATAATTCCTAATTTACTTCTTTTTTGTACCAGAACGTTAGTAGCGCAATTTTCCCTAAATTTATCGTTGGCCATGATGATTCACGGTCCGGTTGGCCGGGATTAGGGCCTCACATTATGTAACTGAGGGTTGTGAGCATTGTAAAAGAATCCTTTCTGTATTTGTCGATTGTTGGATCGACGGTGTTCGTTCTATTCGTTGGGTAATCATGTTAGTGGCAGTTGAAAGCACATACATTTAAGTAAAAGTTCTGTCGCTAAACACTACATGTGCTGTCGGATTTTATCTGATGTGCATTTGGCTTAGGTTCCGACAGTGGTGGCCGACAAACTGTAGCACTCTAGCGGTGCGCGGGGGCGGGAACTAAAAGCCGATCACATTCTCCCTGACCATGTCTCCAGCTCAATACCGAAACATCAAACGGAGACCAATAATTCGATTTGTGGTTGTTAACTATTCACAGCTCAGTGTGAATTTAGATGCTCCGGTAAATTCTTTCTCAACTATTAATAAAATGTAAATTAATAATGTAATGCGGTAGTCCGCTTGATTAATTAGCGATGGGGGTTCAAACTGTATAACCAAGAAGTAAGGTCGTTATTGGTAGGACAGGGCTAATAACAGGTGGTAGGTTTGTTCACGGTCGGTGATTATAACCGCCAACTGGCGACCGTTGCGCCCACCACTTTTTACTGGTCGATATGCTTTTGAATTTAGAATATAGTTACGGGAGTTGCCCGCGTGGAAAAAGTTCACATAACATAAACAGTGGTCTAATGGCTCGCGGCGTATTTGTTAAGGCTTATGCCACGACCGCCATATTAGCAGTACCACTGCAATATTTAATTTAACCTAATTTTATAACCACGTTACAGAAGCTAATTTAGTTATCTGTGCATATCTGCTTGGCAATATATTTTAAGTGGAGCGTTATTTAAGCTGGCTCTGGTTCTAAACGTTTAATGGGTACTTTTCATGAAATAAATTTACCGTGCTGTTAAATAAACTAGTCGATTCTAAGGTTTTTCAGTAGCTAGTTGTCTAGAGTTGAAGTAAAGTAAATAGCTTGTTTCGTTAATAACTTTAACAATACATTTAGAAAGAACATCGTTCTTCGAAAGAATAATATAAAATAATGGTAATCATAATTTACCTACGATAACAAACTACTCCATTATAGAATGTACTTTGCTTTAATAAGTACAGTTTAAACAAACACAATTAGATTTTAATTTCAATTCAATTAGTAAAGATGTTCGAGATAATATGTACGTAGGCGGGTACTTATTCAAACCTATTTAAATATTCACATGGATTTTATCCCTACTAAGGCTCGAAACCGTACGATAGGAAACTTTTTAAGTCGTAACAGAAGAAAAGTTGGCAACATTTTGTTAAAATATTTGTACAGTATATTGGAATATGTATCTGGTAATAATAGGGCGATAGTAAAATTTAATTATATCGTAAAAATAAAGTATTTGGGTAAATGCCTTTTGCTTTCAGTTATAGAATCTTTTAAGGTAAAACAAAATAGGTTTGATGTTGTGGTCTAGTTCTTTCTGGCTTATTGTAATGTTGGCGTGCTAATTACTCAGAATTGTTATCAGCATACGTGCCAGCAGTGAGGGTGGAGTGCTGGCAAGCAGCCAACGTGAAAGGCCCGCAGATAAGTGATGAGATGGCACGTAATGGCCTGTGCGCTGTGATTACATCTTGAAACTCGGCCCGGCCATTGAGAGGTGCCATAGCAACACTCGTTACGCGGACGTCTGTAACATTTTGTTGTAAGACCCTCAAATTGTACGAAAACGAGGAAAAAATTCAAAAGAAACTGCTTATTTTGCAAGCCTATTGTTAATACTTAAGCTATATAGTTTAGCAGTTTTATACTTGTAAAGAAAGGCATGATTGTGTCAGGAATTTTTGTGTTGTCATACTATTTTTTTTTAATTGGCACCGTAGCAATTTGAGGGATGTCTTTGATCTTCTTTTTTATATAAGTAATAAATGGCATTTAGGTATCAATTTCAAATAAACCATGCGATCTGATTCGAAAGGTTGTCTTTTCATATTTAAAGTTTTATAAGGATTTGAAATGTAATTACAATACGATATTCTCATGAAATCTTCACTCCTAAT